GTTCAAGTTCATTGAGGGGAGCGGTATTACGAACCAGTTTCCTTTGCTTGGATAGTCGGGTTCAGCTCGCAAACCATTTGCACAGAGAATCTCGCTTGAACTGCTGAGGCAAGATAGCGCTTCTGCAAGAACTGGGCGCTAATACTTGGGGAGGAGGGAGGGGGGGGGGACATCTCATACATTTGTCAATCGCGACGTCTCCCTCTTCTTTCCTGTTCCTCTCCTCCTATATTCCTTTCTTGTTCCTTTCTTTTTTTTCTCTATTGTTTCTTCCTTGTTCTCCTCCCTTCAAATGCTCGGTCACAAAACTCAATGAGAAACTGCCTCCGGATCTTCTCAGCGGTGGTGTCTAATTGACAGATGCCGTGTGACCGTAGTCATCATGGGACAGGTCTGCAGAAAATGCAAAGTATTCTGCCACTCCCCAGAGCCTAAGACTCGATTAGGCTCTGGGGAGTGGTCCCTTCCCTCCCCTTTCAACGATATTATGTTGAGCGCGAAAAAACCAATTTTTCTTTCGAGGATAAGTAAAACCCCGAACGATATACAAATCCCGAACTGAATTCAGTTCACGAGTGGACGTCCAGGAACATCCACGAACTAGCTGACATTCGAAGTCCCTTATCAATCTCCAGTAGGATCTGTACTTAACAAAGGCACTTTGATCTCAGTTTTTCCAGTTTTTCAGGAGCTGGACCCCCCCCCCCGCTCGACCGCAGTTTTTTCAGGGAACAACTGAAGAATTTCTTCGAAAAAGTAAGCGGTAGAAAGTTGGGAAAATTCAAGAAGACTGTTGGTAGGATGGGGAAGGGTCGTACCAGAGGAGGAACTTTGAAAGGAGAGGGGTCGTAACGTACAAAATCTTGCCCCCAACGGCAGAGTGTGCCCCATCCATCACCCTCAGCAGCTTTCACTGCTGTAAACGAATCCCACCTCGATCATGCTTCTCTATGTGACCATTAAAAAAGCAAAACAGGCTCATTCCACTGCATGCCTGACAAATGGCTCTCCTTCTTACTTATAAATCTGCTAAATCGGGTGATAAACTCAATGGACCTCGTCTGCTGTAAACTTAAACCAGCTGCTGCAAAAAACCGGGCGCAGGATTGGCGTTGGCCAAGTGGTGCATGGAACAAGCTACTGGACATGGAACATATCACTCTTAAAAGTTTCCCAATGCAGTTTTTCTGTTCGGTTTTCTGTTCGGTTTTCGGAAAAGAGTGATCGTATTTGATCCGGGAATTTTTTTTTCCACTGTTGACTGTTTTTTTCACTTTCACTGTTTTTTTGTCCGTCCCAAGCGTATACCTTCCTATCCTAAGCTGCCGCACTTCACTATATCTAATGCGTGAAAAGTGGAAGGTTGGTGAAACTTATGGTAGGAAGGATGGGGGAACGTGGTCGTACCGGAGGAAGGACTTTTCTTCCATCCTGTTGATGTACCCTGCCACCGAAAATCCTTCGAGCGGGGGTGAATGTGGGTGGGGAGGGGGAGGGGGGGGGTGAGGGAAGAGAGATCCTCCTTTGAACACAACTACGTTTCCAACCCTTCCTACCATTTTCCCCATGTTTTCCTAACATCCCTCTACTTTTCCCAGTTCCCTGAAAAAATTTTCCAGCTTTATCTCGAAAAACTGCTGTCGAACAGGGAAAGGTCCTCCCAGACAACTACTGATTCCAATTGTCAAAAAAATGTTTAGACTTAACGAAGGAGTGGCTGGGAGGAGAGAGAGAGAGGAGAGAGAGAGAGAGAGAGAGAGAGAGAGAGAGAGAGAGAGAGAGAGAGAGAGAGAGAGAGAGAGAACACACATGAAACGGGAAAAAAGCCGCAAAAAGTCAGCAATCGGAAAAATTTCTCTCGCGACTTGGACTCGGAAAACTTCTGTAAAGACAAAATGCGACCCGCATCATGATCATAAACGACTCCCTCCAACGACCAAGTATTGCCTCCTGATAGATTTCTCCTGACGACGCTCTGCCCTATTCGGAGGGGTCCTATAAGGATTCCTTGAAATGCTCACTCGCTCCAAGGCTTAGCAGGGTACCTCGTATTCTGGGGATCCTCAGCAAGGAGGTCGTATTTGGTCGCTGGAGGGATGCAAGGGTCTTATCTGACTTTGAGAAAAAGTTTTCGGTTTTGGTTGTCGACTTTTTGGGTTTTCCCCGTTCCACGTGCGCTACGCTCCACCCCCCCCCCCGCTCCGGCCCCTGCCTTATCGATGACAGTTTTTCGGAGAGGGAAGTTGGAGATCTTGGGGGAAAGAACGTCAGAAAAATGGTAGAAAGTTGGGAAAACTTAGCAAAACGATGGTTAGGATGGGGAGCGTCCTGCCAGAGCAACTCCTGAGGGGAGTCGTATTCCGCGAAACTTCTCCCAGCAGCAGGATTCTGTGATTCTCTGGTGTCACGATGTATTGAAGCGACGTTTCACCTATACAATTCAGCTTCATGTATCAATCAGTTCGCACCATGACTGATAGCGATATTCAGTAGTAACGTCTGATGGGGCGGCAATTCCATTTCAGAGCAGGGTTACCATGGAGTTAGGCGTATGGTAGGTGGCAATATCAATCCTCTCGCACAAGGCGAGGGGTTTTGCCAAGATATCGACTAGTATGACGCAGTACGTCATCACGTAATCGCAGTGGCTGAGAAGCAGAAGAAATTACCAAATCCGGAAAGTGGGCGGAAAACGAGCACAACCGTTTTCATCGTTGGTATGCAGTAGTTTTCCCTCGCTTTAAAAACAGGGTTTCAAGGCCGGCTCATGATTACGTCACGCTTGAGTCTTCCTCAAAAGCGAGTCACGAGAGAGAGAGCGTCGGCCTCGAACTAACAACATTCGTTTACCCGAAAAACATATTAAGAAACAGAATAACAACACTCACGCGATTCTCATAAGTGCAGCTGAAGAGGTGATGAACAAAACGAAGGTACAAATCATAACTCGGTGCTAATGGGAGACGGGGCGGGGGGGATTTCGCACTTTTGCTGCTTCGCTAGTTTCGGCTTACACGTCTTACTCCGACGAAACCTGTGAAC